TATAAAACTATATATAATATAATATATATATAGATATATAACTATATATATAATTATATATATATATAGATATATAACTATATATATAATTATATTATATAGATATATAACTATATATATATATAACTATATATATAATTATATATATATATATATATATATATATATATATATATATATATATATATATATATATATACTTTTGTTTGCATACTTCGATGTTTTAAGTAAGTTTTTCGAAGTTAGCTAACAAAAATAAATGTTCACTAACTGAGAAAAAAAATAAAAGTTATCTTATTAAGGAAAGAAAGGAATGTACTCTAATTTCTAGAATATATCATTTTCTTCAGATTTCGATTATCTCCAGCAATCAACGCTGCCATGAGGGGGTGTTATTTTTGCTGTCCTGGTCTGGAGTGTCTTCAAATATTCCACCTTTCTAACATTTGCAATGTAAATTTTTTCTGACAACTTCATTCAAATATTCCACCTTTCTAACATTTGCAATGTAAATTTTTTTCTGACAACTTCATTCAAATAGTCCACCTTTCTAACATTTGTAATGTAAATTTTTTTCTGACAACTTATTCACATATTTTACCTTTATATTTAGTTAATGCAAACACATCCAATACAAAAACATAGTGGCTTTATGTATAACATACAGACAATGAGTGATAAAATGTAGTGGCTTTATTTATAAAATACAGACATACGGACGATATAATGTAGTGGCTTTATTTATAACATACAAACATATGGACGATATAATGTAGTGGCTTTATTTATAACATACAAACATATGGACGATTATACAGTTGTTTCCAGGATTTTTTAAAATTATTTTTTGACGAATAATTACTTTTACATAATAAGTTATGTTCTTATTAGTTCTCCACTAAAAATAGTTGCAATGGATGCATTATATGTATAAATACATACATACATACATACATACATACATACATACATACATACATACATACATACATACATACATACATACATACATACATACATACACACACAGACATGCATACATGCACACATACACACATGCATATATATATACGTTTTGTGGAGACAGATATATATATATATATATATATATATAGATAGATAGATAGATAGATAGATAGATAGATAGATAGATAGATAGATAGATAGATAGATAGATAGATAGATAGATAGATAGATAGATAGATAGATAGATAGATAGATAGATATAGATATAGACACATAATATAATTATTTAAGCAACACTTTCTTTTACATGTACGTTCAATGTACATTCAATGCCACTTTCGTAACAGTTTTGGTGTTCGCTCAAAACAATCTAAACATTCTATATTATGTCATTTGACCTCAAACATTCTATATTATGTCATTTGACCTCAAACATTCTATATTATGTCATTTGACCTCAAACATTCTATATTATGTCATTTGACCTCAAACATTCTATATTATGTCATTTGACCTCAAACATTCTATATTATGTCATTTGACCTCAAACATTCTATATTATGTCATTTGACCATAAACATGTTTACTTAGAAAGAATGCCATTGTTTCAGATCCAATTGGTTTTGCAGTGAAAAGGATGATACATGTCGCATTTTTTCTTGCTGTAACGACAGCCTTGTGTGCAGGTAAGCTTAGCTCTGTCACATTGTCTGGTGTGCAGGTTAGCTTAGCTCCGTCACCCTGTCTGGTGTGCAGGTTAGCTTAGCTCCGTCACATTGTCTGGTGTGCAGGTTAGCTTAGCTCCGTCACCCTGTCTGGTGTGCAGGTTAGCTTAGCTCCGTTACCCTGTCTGGTGTGCAGGTAAGCTTAGCTCCGTCAGCCTGTCTGGTGTGCAGGTTAGCTTAGCTCCGTCACCCTGTCTGGTGTGCAGGTTAGCTTAGCTCCGTTACCCTGTCTGGTGTGCAGGTAAGCTTAGCTCCGTCAATCACCCTGTCTGGTGTGCAGGTTAGCTTAGCTCCGTCACCCTGTCTGGTGTGCAGGTAAGCTTAGCTCCGTCAATCACCCTGTCTGGTGTGCAGGTTAGCTTAGCTCCGTTACCCTGTCTGGTGTGCAGGTAAGCTTAGCTCCGTCAATCACCCTGTCTGGTGTGCAGGTTAGCTTAGCTCCGTCACCCTGTCTGGTGTGCAGGTTAGCTTAGCTCCGTCAACCACCCTGTAAATTCTTTGTCATCAGTTTTTGTAACTCTCAAGTTTCAGTTTAACACTAATATTCCGGTTCAACAGTTTCGGAATATTATAATGTTAATCTATAAAATGTTATCGGAATATTATAATGTTCTATAAAATCTTATCGGAATATTGTAATGTTGATATATAAAATGTTATCGGAATATTATAATGTTCTATAAAATCTTATCGGAATATTGTAATGTTGATATATAAAATGTTATCGGAATATTATAATGTTCTATAAAATCTTATCGGAATATTGTAATGTTGATATATAAAATGTTATCGGAATATTGTAATGTTGATCTATAAAATCTTGATGTAAACTTACATCCTATAGCGTCAAACTTGTAACGTGATATTTGTTCACTGTAACGTGATCCCTGTACCCTGTAACGTGATCCCACCATAACCCATGTACTGTTGACCCCCACCATAACCCATGTACTGTTGACCCACACCATAACCCATGTACTGTTGACCCGCACCATAACCCATGTACTGTTGACCCCCACCATAACCCATGTACTGTTGACCCCCACCATAACCCATGTACTGTTGACCCCCACCATAACCCATGTACTGTTGACCCACACCATAACCCATGTACTGTTGACCCCCACCATAACCCATGTACTGTTGACCCCCACCATAACCCATGTACTGTTGACCCCCACCATAACCCATGTACTGTTGACCCCCACCATAACCCATGTACTGTTGACCCCCACCATAACCCATGTACTGTTGACCCCCACCATAACCCATGTACTGTTGACCCCCACCATAACCCATGTACTGTTTCCATCCCTAGAGGTCTGCTCAACATACAGAACAAAGAATACACCTACAGATGCCTGGATCCTCTACCTTCCAAAAATGGTTAACTTAGCTGGTTTTATTTGAAAATAAATTATGTTTATACTTTTCTATTGGTTTCTTTTGTTCATTCCACTTATTCATAAATTTGGGGTTAAAAGATTGTAGACGCCGCCTAATCCCTTTGAGATATCCACTGACGAGGTTCATGCAGAGAAAGACAGGGAAGACGATTTAGTAAGAGGTTAGGTGCTATCTGGGTAGATGGCTTAGCAGCAACTTTTGGGCATCTATAGATATATATAAAGCAATGTATGTGTGTCTGTCTGTGTGTGTTTGTCGGTTTGTCTTTTATGCATTACTACAACTTTCATCCGATTGCCAAGAAACTTTGGAGTCGTTGAGAATACTTCAGGGGAGGTACTTGCGAAAAAAAAATTAATTTAGCAGGGGCGGCGCCCCGGGATGATGCGATTTTTCTCTATATACTTTATATAAAAAATAAAAGTCGGACGCGGCTCGACAACGTTCATCCAAGTGCCATGAAACTTTAGGGAGTTGATCAAAATATTCTCGAAAAGGTTTCTGCGGAAAAATTAAAATTTTCTTATGGGCGTTACCCGGGAGGGTGCGAATTTCGTCAATACACGGTTTGGCGCCCAGAGTTCCAGAGCGGCTATCTTAGCACTTGATATCCGTTAATTAGGCGTCCTGTATTTCGGGTAAGGGGCACTACTATATTTAGCGGTAAAACTTCAACAGGCGCAGCGTGATGTAAAGCGCCTCAGGCTCCCCTGTGAGCACTATGGCGCCTACGTTCTTTTTTTTTTGCCCCCGGGTTATCCTAGGACTTTTTTCTAGCCCCTTGGCAACGCGAGGGTACGGGCACGCTAGTCATTCGGCTACGAAAATAACAATACATTTTAAATGATATATCACCATGTTTATTTATTTAATAGCCAAAAGTAAAATATTCTTATTTAAATAACCCAAGTTTATTGATTCTTGTTAATTGCCTAGTACTAGAACTCCCCATTCGAGGAGAGACACGCCTTGACCCTAACCCTAACCCTAGTACTACAACTCCCCATTCCAGCGTTGAACTCTCGAGAAGAGACACGCCTTGACCCTAACCCTAACCCTAGTACTACAACTCCCCATTCCAGCGTTCAACTCTCGATGAAAGACACTCATTGACATGCCCCTCCTCTCCTGCTACCTGCTGCAAATATTCATTCAAGCCATGAGTAACACATCCGTGAATATACATTGATTTAAATGAGTTTAACCAGAGTTTCTTCCAGGCATCTCTTCGGGGGGGGCGAAGCCCCCCCCCCCCCCCCCCGAAAAATTTTTACCGCCCCCCCGAACGAAATGAAATTTATATATTTTATATAGAAAATATATACTTTTAACAGTGTCCGCACCCCCCCCCCCGAAGAAAGTTTACCGCCCCCCCCCCCGAAGATTTCAAGCGCCCCCCCGGAGAAAAAAGTCTGGAAGAAACACTGAGTTTAACCCTTTTTAAATAAATTATCTTTACTTATGTTTTACTACAACATTTGCTATTCATAAATACAAGTCTCTAATTGAAGACTTTTTGAAGACTATTACTTTTAAGTAGACTAACATTTAAAAATATATTGAACTATCAGACTGTTGAGGAGATATTCAGAGATTTATGTCATAAATTGTGCTATTGAAATACACACCTTTTTGTTTGGTGTTTTTTCTGCAGTGACCTCAGTGGCGTAGCGGGGGGGGGGGGGGGGAGGACATATGTCCCCGGGCGCCGACCTTAGGAGGGCGCCAAATTGAAAGTTTGAGGGAGGTATAAATGAAAAGTTCGAGGGGGGGTGCAAATCGACAGTTTGAGGGGGGTGCAAATGAAAAGTTCGAGGGGTGGGGGTGCAAATCGAAAAGTTTGTCCCCTGGCGCCGGGTAGGGTCGCTACGCCTCTGAGTGACCTTGACATGTTATAGGCGATTATCCAGTTATGGCTAAATGGTATGTTTCAGTTTCCAGGGCATACATGCGGATGGTGTGGTAGGCACTATGTGAAGGTGTGTGTTAGGGTGTTTGTTAGGGTGTGTGTTAGGGTGTGTGTGATAGTATATTTTAGGGTGTGTGTTAGGGTATGTGTTAGGGTGTGTGTTAGTAAGTGTGTTAGGGTGTGTGTGATAGTATATTTTAGGGTGTGTGTTAGGATGTGTGTTAGGGTGTGTGTTAGGGTGTGTGTTAGGGTGTGTGTTAGGGTGTGTGTTAGGGTGTGTGTTAAGGTGTGTGTTAGGGTGTGTGTTAAGGTGTGTGTTAGGAAGTGTGTGAGGGTGTGTGTTAGGGTGTGTGTTAGGGTGTGTGTTAGGGTGTGTGTTAGGGTGTGTGTGAGGGGTGTGTTAGGAAGTGTGTTAGGGTGTGTGTTAGGGTGTGTGTTAGGGTGTGTGTTAGGGTGTGTGTTAGGGTGTGTGTTAGGGTGTGTGTTAGGAAGTGTGTGAGGGGTGTGTTAGGAAGTGTGTTAGGGTGTGTGTTAGGGTGTGTGTTAAGGTGTGTGTTAGGGTGTGTGTTAGGGTGTGTGTTAGGGTGTGTGTTAAGGTGTGTGTTAGGGTGTGTGTTAGGGTGTGTGTTAGGAAGTGTGTGAGGGGTGTGTTAGGAAGTGTGTTAGGGTGTGTGTTAGGGTGTGTGTTAAGGTGTGTGTTAGGGTGTGTGTTAGGGTGTGTGTTAGGGTGTGTGTTAAGGTGTGTGTTAGGGTGTGTGTTAGGGTGTGTGTTAGGAAGTGTGTGAGGGGTGTGTTAGGAAGTGTGTTAGGGTGTGTGTTAGGGTGTGTGTTAAGGTGTGTGTGAGGGTGTGTGTTAGGGTGTGTGTTAGGAAGTGTGTGAGGGGTGTGTTAGGAAGTGTGTTAGGGTGTGTGTTAGGGTGTGTGTTAGGGTGTGTGTTAGGGTGTGTGTTAGGGTGTGTGTTAGGGTGTGTGTTAGGAAGTGTGTGAGGGGTGTGTTAGGAAGTGTGTTAGGGTGTGTGTTAGGGTGTGTGTTAAGGTGTGTGTTAGGGTGTGTGTTAGGGTGTGTGTTAGGGTGTGTGTTAAGGTGTGTGTTAGGGTGTGTGTTAGGGTGTGTGTTAGGAAGTGTGTGAGGGGTGTGTTAGGAAGTGTGTTAGGGTGTGTGTTAGGGTGTGTGTTAAGGTGTGTGTGAGGGTGTGTGTTAGGGTGTGTGTTAGGAAGTGTGTGAGGGGTGTGTTAGGAAGTGTGTTAGGGTGTGTGTTAGGGTGTGTGTTAAGGTGTGTGTTAGGGTGTGTGTTAGGAAGTGTGTGAGGGTGTGTGTTAGGGTGTGTGTTAGGGTGTGTGTTAGTTTGTGTGTTAGGGTGTGTGTTATAGTATGTGTTAGGGGGTGTGTTCGGAAGTGTGTTAGGAAAAGTTTGTTAGGGTGTGTTTTAGAAAGTGTGTTAGGGTATGTGTTAGGGTGTGTGTTAGGGTATGTGTTAGGAAGTGTGTTAGGGTGTGTGTTAGGGTGTGTGTTAGTTTGTGTGTTAGGGTGTGTGTTATAGTATGTGTTAGGGGGTGTGTTCGGAAGTGTGTTAGGAAGTGTGTGTTAGGGTGTGTTTTAGAAAGTGTGTTAGGGTATGTGTTAGGGTGTGTGTTAGGGTATGTGTTAGGAAGTGTGTTAGGGTGTGTGTTAGGGTGTGTGTTAGTTTGTGTGTTAGGGTGTGTGTTATAGTATGTGTTAGGGGGTGTGTTCGGAAGTGTGTTAGGAAGTGTGTGTTAGGGTGTGTTTTAGAAAGTGTGTTAGGGTATGTGTTAGGGTGTGTGTTAGGGTATGTGTTAGGAAGTGTGTTAGGGTGTGTGTTAGGGTGTGTGTTAAGATATGTACTAGGAAGTGTGTTAGGAAGTGTGTGAGGATGTGTGTGATGGTGTGTGTTAGGGGTGTGTGTTAGGGTGTGTATTAAGGTGTGTGTTAGGAAGTGTGTTAATGATTTGAAGCGAGGGATCTCTTTATCAGATAACCTGTCGCCCCTGGGTTAGGGTTAGAGTTAGATCCCACCTGGTGCCCCTGGGCTAGGGTTAGATCCCACCTGGCGCCCCTGGGTTAGATCCCACCTGGTGCCCCTAGATTAGGGTTAGATCCCACCTGGTGCCCTGGGTTAGGGTTAGATCCCACCTGGTGCCCTGGGTTAGGGTTAGATCCCACCTGGCGCCCCTGGGTTAGGGTTAAATCCCACCTGGCGCTCCTGGGTCAGGGTTAGGGTTAGATCCCACCTGGCGCCCCTGGGTTATGGTTAGATCCCACCTGGCGCCCCTGGGTTAGGGTTAGATCCCACCTGGTGCCCCTAGATTAGGGTTAGATCCCACCTGGCGCCCCTGGGTTAGGGTTAAATCCCACCTGGCGCTCCTGGGTCAGGGTTAGGGTTAGATCCCACCTGGCGCCCCTGGGTTAGGGTTAGATCCCACCTGGCGCCCTGGGTTAGGGTTAGATCCCACCTGGCGCCCCTGGGTTAGGGTTAGATCCCACCTGGCGCCCCTGGGTTAAGGTTAGGGTTAGATCCCACCTGGCGCCCCTGGGTTAGGGTTAGATCCCACCTGGTGCCCCTGGGTTAGGGTTAGATCCAACCTGGCGCCCCTGGGTTAGGGTTAGATCCCACCTGGCGCCCCTGGGTTAGATCCCACCTGGTGCCCCTGGATTAGGGTTAGATCCCACCTGGTGCCCTGGGTTTGGATTAGATACCACCTGGTGCCTTGGGTTTGGATTAGATACCACCTGGTGCCTTGGGTTTGGATTAGATCCCACCTGGCGCCCCTGGGTTAGGGTTAGATCCCACCTGGTGCCACTGGGTTAGGGTTAGATCCCACCTGGCGCCCCTGGGTTAGGGTTAGATCCCACCTGGCGCCCCTGGGTTAGATCCCACCTGGTGCCCCTGGGTTAGGGTTAGATCCCACCTGGCGCCCCTGGGTTAGGGTTAGATCCCACCTGGCGCCCCTGGGTTAGGGTTAGATCCCACCTGGCGCACCTGGGTTAGGGTTAGATCCCACCTGGCGCCCCTGGGTTTGGATTAGATCTCACCTTGCGCCCTGGGTTAGGGTTAGGGTTAGATCCCACCTGGCGCCCCTGGGTTATGGTTAGGGTTAG